TAAAAAACATAAAAATTTGCCAGATACACCATAAATAGTTAAAACATGCTGTCTTCCTCAGAAAATTAATAATCTCTAAAATTCAAAACCAACTAACCCTGAAATTCAGGTAAAGAAATACTTGTATTTGTGCCTCCACCACAAGGTAAGTGTAAGCATTAGAGCTATTGCAGTTAACAGTCCCAGGAAAAGGTGAGGCTGATGTCAACACAAGTCATTCTGGCTGATAGCCGAGTTCAACTTCTCTATTCCATAGGATGAAAAATCTGCTGGTCTGCCTTGCCTGGGTAAGGAGGTCAGTGCAGCCCTATTCCTATGAATACGGTAGAAATCGTCAACCTGGTTGGCAGGGCAGGTGACTAGATGACAGGAAAGCAGAAACTTATACTGTGGTTTCATCCTGCGTATCTGCTGTGACAGCAGACAGTGAATTTGACCTAATTTTGTTTTCTGAAGTGATTCTTCCTCCTGTTATATTGGCAGGTTCAATGGATTTTCTGTGAACTTAAAAGAAGTTTTTCCAAAGAACTTCGGGTTTTGTATAGGTAAAATTGCCTCCAAAGGAAACTCACCAAGGAAAGAGCAATGGCTTGTGCTCAGGTAAATGTTCCCAAGGGCAAGGGCCGTATGTCCTTTCCTTCTCAAAATCTTTGACATTCTGAACTTGTAGCCTTTTACTTTTCATGCATAATGAGCTTCTTTCCAAATACATTTGCATTTTCTTCTTATGATAGTATATATTCCCTCTATTTTGTCAATTTTGTTGAGTTTTGGTATATTTCATACAGATCATCTCAATTATCTTTATTCCCCCTTCCTCATTGGCATCCTCCCATAGTGCCCTCACCCCACTGGATTTCATGCATTCTGTCATTTGTGTTAAGGCCCATCACGTCAAGTTAGTGTCTGAGACATCCCTCACTGCAAGTTCATCCACTGAGGTCTAGTGAACCTATCTAGAGTCTCTTCCTTTAAGAAGATCATCTCTTCTTCACCCAGCAGTAATCAGCTACCAGTAGTTCCTTGGTTAAGACTGGGGACTGTTGCCCATTTCCATAGTTGTATGCTGGTTTTTTGGTTTTTTTTTTTTGCTTCAGTATTAACAGGTCTTGTGCATGCTAACAATATTGCTGTAGGTTCATAAGCAAAGTCATCTCTCTAGTCTGTTCTCAAATGTTAAATCTTTCAAGATTAATTTAATAAATGCATCACTTACAATCTCAAAATATTTCTTATGTGGTGGCTGAAAATTACACGAACCAATCCCCAGTTCTACAGAAGATGGACTTGGGTTGTTGTATGCCTGTGGAGAAGAGAGCATATCCTGTGAGGGTGTTATATTGGAGGCTCTATCAGCTTCTGTGGACAAGTCTTGGGAAAATTCACATTGGAACAAAATGGAATGCATTGTTTAGAGAAACTGACTTATTTAAGGAAAAAGGAAGATAGAATTTCTCATATCCTAAGACTATTCAAACACATAAGAAATTGCTGAACAAGGTGGATTAATATTTATTGAACAATACAGAGAATTGTTATTTTCATATTTTATTCAAGTTTTGTATTACTTTGCTTTGAGTTTTTATTGAACCACCATCACAGGCCTGAAGATGTTTGCTGCCGTGTTTGCTGACACCTTTGTTCATTTATCTCCAGGGTAATCACTCCCTTGGCTGAGGTGCACTGTACCAGTTTCCTCAATTTAGACCTCATTGTTGTGGTTTATCAGTAATAATTTTCTTCTGGTGGTTTACAGAATGAAGCTGATGAATCATTATATTTAATGGAGGATATTTCCGTGATTCATGGTTATTTTGCTCTCCTTGGGGGGTAAAAGTTCTCATATTCTCTTGCTAAATACTAACTTTTACAGATGGAGATTCTGAAGTAGACCTTTAATAGGTTGGGATTTCTTCTTCACAATCACAGCAGAGTAGTGCTTCTGATACTGCTTCTTTGTACCCCAGAATAGGAAAACAAGGATCATATATTGCTTTAGAATTCAAATCACTGGGTGTTTATGTGTATCATATAACATATATACTGCATAAAAATAGAACAAAATTGTAAAACTATGATGTTCAGAAAAATTAACTCCTGTTTTCAGTGGGATCATTTTTTTTTGTCTTCCCCAGTTAGAAAATGAATAATGAATAATGAAAGACAGATATAGTTTATGAATTTTAATATTTTAAATTTATTTAAAAAGTCACTCTGTTGACTATGGAAAATTGTGCAAACTAGGCTATTATATGAAATTTAATGATTGCATTTTAATTACAAAGGCTTTGTGCTTATCA